TTGCTCCCCCCCCCTAGCACATGCCCTCACCCCCCTAGTGTCTGTGTCCATGGGTTATGCTTATATGCATGCGTACAAGTCCTGTGGTTGATCTCTTACCCCTTCACCCCCACCCTCCCCTGCCTTGCCTCTGAGGTCTGACAGTCTGTTCGATGCTTCTATGTCTCTGCTCCTAGCTTCTTGATGTTCATGCGTTGCCTTCAGGTGACCTACTCAATGCAACCTGTTCCTGTGGCTCATTCATATGCCCCCATTCCCTCCTGGGAGTGTGGCTAAGTACCTCGCTTTGTCCTGTAGACCTGCTCTCGCGTTGGGTTGGCTCTTGGGCATCCTGCTGGAAATGGCCTCTCTTTGTTCCTTTTGTCGTCCTTGCGATTTCATTTCCCCCTCGCGTGTGCTTATGTTACTGCTGCGGCCTTCTCAGGGGTGGGGGACCTTTTCCTGCTGAAGGCCATTTGGTATTTATAATGTCATTCTTGGGCGACACTCTATCCACTGAGCCAAACCGGTTAGGGCCATTTGGTATTTATAATGTCATTCTTGGGCCATACCAAATTATCAACTTAAAAACCAGCCTATGTTTGGGCAAACATTTAAGTAACTCACCCCGCATGCCTTGCAGGGCCAGACCAAATGATTATATTTCACAGGCCTTATACAGCCCTCAGGTCGGGCGTTCCCCACCCCAGGTCTCTGGTGTGGACAACTGATGTCACAAGAGGGACATCTCTGTTCCTCCACCCAGAGGCCATCGTGGCAGAGGGGGTCACATGCGATTGTAAGAGCAAGGCAGGAGGGACGGCGTCAGGAGAAATGATTCCTGGTACTTCCTGTGACCGCTGCCATCTTACGAAGCAAGCTGCCCACCAGGGGGCTAGGAGGGGGCGTATCACCTGAAAGGAACATTCCTGCGCAGGTTAGCGGGCCCACTGCTTACTGCCTTGGATGATACAGCTCTTAACAAGCCCGCACCTCCTGGCCACCAGCCCGTGTTAGCCTGTGCCACGTGGCTGCATATATCCGGCCGCTGTCCTTTCCCTGCAGAAGCCCACTGCCCCCCAAACTCTGCTTCTGTCTCTCAGTTTCCTAACAAACTCTGGAGTTGCCAGACCCTTTCTCAGGTCTTCTTGGCTGGGTGGATGCAGGTACTTGAGGCAGCTTCAACTCATCTCAATGCGGGCTCCATAGGGCCCGTGTAGTTAGCATTAAGATGTGCTGATGACAACTGGGAACCCTGCGGGGAAGCCCTGCTTTAGCCCCGGGAGCATTTCAGGGCAGCAGCCCAGCTGCGGGACCCTCAGGGCTGACAGGCTTCGCGGGGAAGCCGGGGAGAAAAAGCTCCAAGGACGTTTTGCTTTTGGAACCGGGCTGGACTCTGTGTTGAGGTCCGGTGTCCCCAGCAGGCCCGGCAGCTCGGGGCCCTGACAGCAGGTTCCCACAGGCCTGCAGGAGCATCAGCACCTTCCCCGGTTCCTCAGCACCTCCAGGTACAGCTCCCTGCAACCAGCCCCTGAACCAAGGCCGCCATTTCTTGGGGGAGGTAACTAACGCCTGCTTCCCTCATTGGGAACCCGGAGGTCCCCCTCCCGTGATGTGAGGAGCTGAGGAGACTGGAATAGCAGCTGTATCAGGTGATAAACCGTGTTTAAAACCAAGTAGGTTTCACAGAATGCGACCATTTAGTAAAATGCCTGGGCCTGGGGCAAGCAGGCTCCACAGGATGGGTGGGAGGTGGCCTGCTGGGGAAAAGACAAAATCTGCCTGTTACCTGGGTCCCGCCCCACCCCCAAAGCAGTAAGACACTCAGCCAGGTCCAAGAGGTGAAGTTCCTGTTTATTGTTGCAGCAACTCTTACAGACATTAGCGTTCAGTTAAATAAAGGAAGAGACCACATTAAATACATCACAACCCCCA